TAGGTAACTATCTGCTCGTCTGCATGATCAGGACACTGACCAAAGTTCTACCTTAGCCAACTAATGAGTACTCCAGAGGAGCAAGTACCCGGTGTCTCTGGAGGATGCTCTCTTCCAAGGAAGACCTCCACTCTACCTCTCCAACCAGCAGTAGTGCAGTGGCCGATAACTGGGCGGCCACGTGTCCTGAAGAGTAACGGTCATCTCACCGCAAGGATGGTGGAAGCTGTGAGTCTCCAGCCTCCATCTATAAAACAAGAAAGAAGTACTACGGTTATATGCACATCGAGAACCGAAAATATAAATGGAAGTGAATCTGTTCATAATTATGGTACCTGTCGACTAGAGCTGAGATCACCACGGGGTTGAAGGTAGGAAACCCACGGCGAACCTAGAACAATACAACGTCAAGTCTAGCCCTCTCAAGGAGGGGAGTGTACCTGTCATCATACCGCATGTCCTTGAACTTATCGTGGGTTCGAGGACGAAGAGTGTACAATTCCTGCAATGAATAGAAATTATTAGATTAATTCGTGAACACAAGTACATGTGCAAAGGAAAAATAACAAGCAGAAGTAAAGTTGTTACCTCCCCCTCCGCGGTGAGTCATCCTCGGTGGTTCTCCTCGAGTACGGGTCCAGCAGGTGGAATGGCTCCATCCTACAAAATATAATGAGAAAGTACAGATTAGTTTTATATGAACAAATAAATAACTTTTTGGTACTAGTAAAACATGCATGTGAAGCATTAGTTATTTTCACCTGACTAAGCGGCCAATGGCATATATGTGAATTATGCCCAAGTCTACCACATTTGCCACATTGGTTCTGCTCGGGGTTAGTAAGAAAGGGGGTTGCTCTCCCTCACCTCGTTCTACCAGAAACCTGGTCCACGACCATCTTGTGCCGCGTCCTCTTCTGGGTTCCACGTTTGTCCCAACGTGTACCTGGATCCGCAATGTATTTCGGCCCAGTGTAAGGTGGCCATTGACCCTCATCTAGGAAAGGCTCGAAATGGGGAGACCAAGTCTATACAAGGCTGTCAATACTGAACTCCCATGGTATCTCGGTCTCGTAGGTAAAGTTGCAATGCTGAGATGCTACAATATAATGAGAACAAGGAAAGTGGTACTGCCTGGTTTTCCCACAATGGCATGAGAAATTACTAAGTACCACAATATAACTCCTTGATGGCTGGACCTCACCATCAAACGTTGTACCACCCCTTTCTGTGACCTGGTACTTGCCGGTGCTATGGTCAAAGCAATCGACGTCATGTGTGGTAGCCCTTTCCTTTGCCTTGTCAAGATGCTTCTTAGGTTTAGGTGCCCATTTCTGATTATTACTCTGTAGTGCCATTGCTTGAGCGTGTCTCTCGTTAAACCATGAAACTAGCCTATAAAAGGTGAATGCTACAATGGCATTGACGGGCATGGCATGTATACCCTTGAGTACACTATTAAATGACTCCGCCATGTTGCTAGTCTAAAACTCGTACCTCCATCCACCATCGTCGTAGGCTCTTGTCCATTTCTTAGGTTCTCTCATCAATCCTCTCAGCCACTGCCTACCTTCTATGTTTGTTGCTGTTTTTAGCTGCTCCAACTTCTCCTCGAAGAACGGCACCTCAAGCATGCGGGCAACCTCCTTGAATAGAGGAAAGTTGTCCTTTGTACCATCCTTCCAAAGTAAATTCTCGGCAAGGTGTCGAGTGCACCAACGGTGGTGCAAAGGTGCATACCCCGGAATCTGCTCCTGTACGGCACTGAGTATGCTCTGGTGTCTATCAGATATGACACCTACCTCCCTATGAGGGCCAATGACATGGATCCTAACAAGTCGCAAGAACCATCCCCAGCTATCTTTGTTCTCCCTCTCCACCAAAGCGAAAGCCAAATGAACCAATGCGTTGTCTGCGTCACACGAAATGGCTACCAAAAGTGTGCCCATGTACTTGCCAAGCAGAAAAATACCATCAATGGATAACACTGGACGACAGTGCCTGAAGGCCTCGACGCACTGGGGAAAGCACCAGAATGCATGAAAGAATATCTGCCTCCCGTCCTTCCATTCATTCGGCTTCGGGATATACACGTAGTGCATGCCTAGATTTGCTGCTTTCATTGCATTGAACATTGCAGGCAACTGCTCGTACCCCTCCTCCCAGTCCCCATATATCATCTTCCAGGCCTGTTGCTTTGCCCTCCATGCTTTCCCATACTTTATGTGATACTTAAATATCTCCTTAGTCATCTCCATAATTGTCCTTACCTTCAAGTTGGGCTGACCCTTCAAAGTTGTGTATAACTTTCTGGCAATGAGGGTAGAGGTCAACTGTCTATGCTTCTGTTTTAGATCTATCTAGGCACAAGTGTGTAGACCTACAGTTTTTGTGATCTTGAATTTCCCTGTGGCCTTCTGTTTGTGAGCACAGACCCTCCAATTGCAATCTACCATCTCGCACACCACCATGTAATGGCGCTCCACATAGGAGTGCCTCACCTTGAATGGTCTCTTACGTCTCATATAATATTCCTGTTGCCACCTTCTTAAGGTGGGTAAGTCCTTGAAGACCATGCCCTTCTAAATTTCCACGCTGTCATCGGCCTCAGGAGCCTCTAGCAGCTCGTCATCTCTTCCTTCTCCATAAGCATGTTGAGAATGACTAAGGTCACTGAATTCATGAACTAGTGGATCATGATCAGGACACAAGCGTCTGATGAGCTCCATTTCTTGTTCGCTCAAAGCTGCAACTGGGCGGTCATCATCAGAATCAACGGCCCTTGCTGTGCCATAAGGCTCCTCATCATCCGTAATATCAACATCTACACTGTTAGAGGCCATAAACCCTGGGTCCACGTTGGTTGATGGAGGAACAGGAGCACAACCATCATTATCAGGATTGTCTCCTGCATTTAAAGCACAAATATGGATAGCACTGAGACAAAGGAATGGAATAAACAAAGAATAAGGAAAGCCAAAGTGTTACTAAATCACTTACTAGGATGATTCTGGGTCAAAGGGATCTCTGGAGGGGCACCTACAGCATCATTAGTCCCACATTCTGCACGGACACTAGGGCATACACCAACCTCATTCAGGGCGGATTGAGCATCGGGCACCACAAGCGCATCTTCCACATCCATCTCACGGTTGGGTAACAGAGGCTCAGAGGGTGCTGAATTCTCTAGTGTTAGGGACAACCCATGAGCGGGTGAATGAACATTAGGGGGTGAATACCCATGAGGGGTGGGATCATTGGACAACTTCCGCACAACCAAATCCAAACATTGAAACTCATTCTTTATGACAGTTTTGACATATTTGTCCCATTGAGCCTCTGATGCAATTGGAACCAACCGCCTCAAAATTATCCCTGACCTGCCATGGTGAAGTACCCCCTCAACTAAGATGACATCTTCATTTGAATTGCATTTAAGCTCATCACGCAGCCCTACCGAACAACTTAGAAAACAATGGCCGATCATCCAATATCATTGGCACCCTTTGCATTCCAGCAAAACCGACATTCCCAAACTCATCTTCCTCCACACTTCCTCCATGATACAGGGTGACTACGTTGTCCATCTAGTTGGTATGCACAACACCAAAGTTATTACGGATTTAACTAATATGGGTATAACTAAATTACATACATATAAAAGTTTTCGACTCTCTACCTAAATAAATAAGTATCTAATCTAAACCACCTATCTATCTAACTACATCTACTACAAGTACTACCTATATAACTTAATTACCTAACTATCTAACTATCTATCTAAATTAGCTAAATAAATATCTACCTAAATTAGCTAACTAAATTACATCACTAAATCACTAAATAACTAAAAAAGCTTTACCAAACTACAAAACTATATAAAATAAATAACTACATTATCTAAACTAACTCAATTAAAAAAAACTAAAGAAAAAAAATACCTGAAATGGGGTGGACGGCGGGCGGTGGCGTCACTAGGGCTAGACGGCGGGCTAGTGGCGTCATTGGGAATCGAGGGAGCCGGTTGGGGGTTGCGCGGGGGCACCGCCAGACTCAGCCGCCGGTGGCCCGCCGGCCAACGTGGACGTCGGGGAGAAGCAGGGGCTGCCCTCGCCGCCGGTGCACGCGGAGGAGTCTCTGGGGCGACAAGGGCGGCTGAGGGAGTGGATGGGGGAGCGAGGGAGGCGACCGGCGTGGGGTGGACGGCGGGTGGTGGCCTGCTACGGTGGAGCGGGCGGCAGCCGGCGGACGAGGCGTGGGCAACGGTGGCGCTGGCTGGCGGCGGCGGTGAGAGGGAGAGACAGAGCGAGAGAGAGAGCTGCGGCCACACGCGATTAATCCATGCTCGGCGCCAGAATACATGGCGCCGAGGTCGGCGCCAAGATCTGTGGCGCCGAAATGTGTTATCTCGGTGACATGAGTCCTGACGCCGACCCCCAGGGTCCAAAGATGAGTTTACGTCTCCTTGGGGTCAAACATAAATTTTCTATAAAAAAAAAGAGTTGGCTGCGGCGGCGCAGACAGGCTCGACGAGAGGACAGCTTGGCTTCCTGGAGGCTTCAACAGCTGCCGACACAAAGCAGAGGCGATAAAGACGAAAAGCAAAGGGAGGCAGATTGAATGAAGAAGACGGCAGGGTCATGTGGGTGGTTGTTTTTTTCGTTGGAATAGAAGGCCATGTGGCCCACCTGTCAGTGCGTTGAAGAGTTTTGTCTCGTTAAATCTCCCGCAACCGTTTACGTTCAACTTGCAGGCGGGCTCGTTCGCGGCCAGCCGCTAACCCGCCTCGCTTGCCGCAAAGTTTATTAGCGAATTTGCGGCTTGCCACAAAGCTGCGGATCTTGCGGACAAGTGTTCCGCGGACACAACAAACTTGTATGCAAAACCCGCAAGACGTACAGTACAGTATCTATGTATTATGTTTCCTAAAGTGATGATCCAGTGCACTATACCATCCTTCAGTGCCATGCTCCAAACAGAATCGATCTTCAATGACAGTTTCAGATATATAACATGTAGTCAAATGAGAACACATCCATATGTCCACAACTCAAATGCGAATTGTTAGTAGCTGCAACAAGACACTGATATGACAATTCAATCATTAATTCTAATATGCGGTTCTGATTATGTGTTGCTGCACAGAAATGGAAATGGAACATAGTAAAAAAGGAATATTGCCAGGATACACCAAAAACAGCAGGTAAAGAAGGTGTCACTGGGAGAGTGAAATCCCAAACAGTAAGGCTTAACTTCAAGCGAACTGAAACATTGTTCATAACATCTTCATCCATCATGTCTCCAAATCCATTATTCTCTTGACAGTCCTGGGGTGCTGGATTATCCAACACCCTCCTCAGTGCAGTAGAAGCTGATGCTAGTTTTTGTACCTAAATGTTATAGCACAATTAGAAAAAAAGGAATAACATGGTTAATCCTTAAGAATATATTATTAGAGCAGAATACCATTTCCTCTGGTGACGAGTAGTCTCTGGGTCCAGTGAGGTCAAGACAACTTCTTAATTTTCTATATAGCCTGTACTTTTCAGATTTTGGTAGAGATTCTGTTCTGGAACTGCTACCAGAAATTAGGTCAGTAAGAAAGTATATAACCCAGAAATCAAAGCTAATGTCACCTGGACTTGATCCTATTCACGCTCCTTGATGCTGCATCTTTGCCAAGATTAGGAGAAGCAGTCGTTCTTGTATCATCAGGTAAGGTTGAAGATGACAATCCTGCACATGGTGACCTCTGGTGTTTGGCTCTGGAGTGGCGCATCCTTGGCGATGCTACGATCCTATTCAGTAGCGGGGACCTCACAAATTGCATGTTCGAAGCAGATGACTTCCTCCGCTTCTCTGTTGGAGGCTTTGGAGCATTAACAGCAGATGACATCCATTTCACTAGCAATGACTTCTTCACGTTCACACTCCTTGAAGTTGTATGCTTACTGCTTTGTTGATCTACTTCTTGACCACTCAATTCTTCTGGCGCAAGCTCAAATGGCAGGGTTGCCATGTCCACACCAGCACATCTAGATAGAATACAATAACATGATAAGCTAGAGGACAACCAAATGGACTGATCAAGAGAGAACTGTAGAGGACTGATCAATCAAATTTCGTGTAGTAGTTTTGATCAGCAAAAGACTAACAAATGTTTGCAAGGTGCCATTTGTACTTTGCATGCAAGAAAAATATGATCCTGCCAACCACCGCACAAATCAATAAAAAGTCTTTGATCATATTATCTTACTAACACTTAACACATGTAAAATTAGAAAATAGCTTTCAAAGTGAGGATCCCACATTTCAGACACTTATAATGTTATTATCAAACCCATGTTTATGTAGTATCACCAAGAAGGTTGCCTACCAAACTAGAAGCAACCATATACCTACCAATTATCGCAATAGGTACTAGCTGTCCAAGAAATTTCTCCCTCCAAACCAAAGCAGACTAAAAGATAGCATTGCATTTGATTCCATGATGAGGCCCAGTTGATGATGGTAACATCAAAAACAAGTTTCTGGAAAAGCGAAGGAACTTGCACATGGCAATACGAAAATAGATGTGCAGCCATCAAGTTCAGTTGGAAGTACTCCTTACCCTTCAGTGTCTATGGAATATTTCAGTTAATCTTTTTGTGCACGAATAAATTGTTAAGTGTTCTTCCAGTAACCACAGTGAAACGGATACGGAGTAGTTGGCAACTTCTTTGTCTGTTTGAAACCACTTAATGATGTATTTGTGATTGATCAGCTGCTTCAAACTAAGAGCGTAACTCAGACAACGCAAAACTCATATCCCCACAGTTCTGGAAGTTAAACTTACTAAGAATTGAAAAACAGAGGTGACAGTGGATGACACTTACTTCACATCAAATTCAGACTGACGACCAGGGGTAGTTTTCTCTACTGGCCGATCAAGCACACCACCTTTGCCTGGCGCAGCTGCTGATAGAGCCATAGGAATTGCAAGACTTTGGCATCTTCCCTTGTAAATGAAAGATCTATCTCCTGCACAACATGAAGAAAATCAACACGAAAGATTATATCAGAAAGTCTGCAAGAGTAATCATGGACCTATGACATGATAAACAATATTTCCATGTAAATTGGAAGTCATCATATAGCTAGCACAGTTCTTGATTGCACATTTGTGCCTCCAGTATTGGCACAAATGTTTCCATGAAACGTAATTTCCATGAAACGGAAGGATTCTCTCTTCACAGTATTTCCATGAAAATAGATGATAAACAATATTTCCATGAAAATAGATGATAAACATTATTTCCATGAAACGGAAGGATTCTCTCTTCACAGTATTGGCACGGTAACGGCAAAATCCTTGCCAAAGCGGAACAGCACTTGTCCGCTCTCATACTACATGGAATCCCCCACAGTTCTAGCTCCACAGGAACCGCGTGAACAGCACGAATCCTACTTGCCCTATTGACCTTATCCACTGAAAGGTACTAAGAAGTGCTACTAACTACTTACTCCCAAAATCGCATCCAAATTCTAACAAACTGACAAAACGGAGCCAGAATAGGGAGCGAGGGAGACGGAGCACCTGCCATGGCGTGGCGATTCGGGAGGCGGCTCGCCGCGGAGAGCGCAACACGGCTGGGCACTGTGGCCTCCATGTCGCTGACTGCCGTCGCCGCACCTCGGAGATTCTGTAATCCTGGGGCCGAGCTCAGCTGCCGCGGCGGAGACGAGGTCTCGGCGGCGCGGTCGCAGTCGCGGTTGGAGGGCCCGGAGGACGAGATCTTCTCGATGTCCATGAAGGTGGAGAAGAGGTCGTCCTCGGAGCCGATCTCGTCGAAGGCGTCGCCGTCGGGGCCGCCGCCGCCGCCGCCGAGGCCCAGGCCGTCCGGGAGGCGGAAGGCAACCTCAGATCTGGCTCGGCGGTGGCGGTGGCCCGGCGATGGAAGGGAGAGCAGAAGAGGGTGTTGCGGCAGAAGAGGGTGTTGCGGGAGAAGAGGGTGCTGCGGGTCTTGCGGGTTGCTGCGAGCCTTCTCGCTCGCCCAACGGGCTCGGAGGTCCGGAAGTCTTCGGCCCACGAAAAAATTGCAGCTGGTCCACAACAGCCACGAAGCGCAGTTTTGCGGGGCGAGCGGGCGGGTTACGTTAAGAACCCGCCCCACCTGCAACTTGAGTTTACATACATCGCAGTCACTGTTCCGTTGCATGCCATCTCTCGAGCATGAAGGTAGTGTCGTGGCAGCGAGCAACGGTCAGCTGTTTCAGGAAAAGAAGAAGAATAAGAACAAAACGCTCTTCTCAAGACAGTGGACTCAAAGGACTAGATGGCTATCAAGCAATTACCCTTCTTCTGGCAAAGTCCATGATTTTTTATTTTTTATTTTTTTATACCGCATAACATATGTGCAGGTAGGAGCAATTGCCGTTTGTATTAGTATATACTTGAGAGAAAAAAGGGCCTAATGGAGTAATGGTTAGGGGTAGATATCCTTGAATGGTCGATGGAAGTGAGGACGGCGCCTGGTTACGAAACGTGATCTCCTAGCTATTGTTTCTGCCTGGGAGGCGGGCTCTTTGGCGGACAGTGCCTCTTCACGGAAAAGCGAGGTGGAACGGAAAAGAGAAACGGTACTGCTGACGTGCTAAGCCTGTCGGTCCTCCTGGGTCAAGAGCAGGCATGCGGTGCGCTGTCGACAGCCCAGGCATCCTGCTCCTGCCGCAAGGGGACCGATCAGAGGCGTGGTCGTCGGCCCACTACTCCTATTCTTGTTTGCGTTCAAAACACCAAAGAAATCGGATCAAACAAAAGAAACTCCAGCTTACACATGCATGTCGTAGTACTACATGTTTGCACACCAATGAGATTAAGAATTCCTTTTGACGGAGGTGAGACAGAGTTAAGGTTTCAATTTTACAAATTATATCCGAAAACATATGTCAGTTGGTTCATCTTGAATTCGAGTGAGCTCGAATTTAACAAAATTTTACTTTTCCCCAAAAATCACTTTATGTGAAATTACCTCTTATCATGATGTTGACTTGGTCAACTTCATAACACGTGGTTCGTTGTGAAAAGTTTTGACGTTGTGAATTTTGAATTTGGGACAGAACGGGAAAAAAATTGACTTAAGTTTGTCCTAACAACTGCATGCAACACACATCACATAATTTTTTTTAAATGTTGGTATTTTTATATTGCAAAAAAACACGGAATGTTACATTTATCATGTTGTCTATTGTATTCCGCAACTAGACATACTTAATACCGAAATATCCCATCAGATGAGCAATTTGAAATGATCTCCAAAATATTAAGCCCTACTCAACCAAGTTGCATGATCAAGGACACTGGCCTTCTCCTCGAAATCCGGTGTACCATCCTATAGAAGGTGTCAACTATAAAAGGTAACTATTTTCACCTATTGCAATATACTTGTAAAGAGCTAATAAATTTTCTGCCACGGTAATAAGTTTGGTCTGCCAACACTTCAGAGTCGTGAATGTCCAATCCCCCCGCTATGTTTCTGCTGCTTGTTACGGGTCCCGAGAGTCTGGACTCTATACCATTTCATGCAGTAATCTGATCTGGTTAAAGTTGAGCCTAATTAAAAATAAATATGTGGCAACATGCCAACCTACGACTTCTGCACCCGTGAAAGATCATAGGATGGTGAATAGCTAATTTAAAAATTCTATAAAACACTAGAACAATTGATTAGTATAACAAACGATGTAATGTAATTTTGCTTTAACTCTACAGGAGTCGCAAGCCACCTATTTCAACAATTCTAGTTGCTATAATCACTAGACACACACAAGAGCTAAGACACAACTCACTAAGCTAGTGTGCTCTCAAAGACTAACTATACTAAAGAGCTTAACAACTAATTTGCAAGAAATATAAAGGAATGAGTAGGGTGATTATACCGTCGTGTCGAGGGATGAATCAATCATAATATGAAGACAACCAATCACCGGGAGAAATCCAATCACAAGAATGACACACGATTTTCTTCCGAGGTTCACGTGCTCATCGGCACGCTAGTCTCCGTTGTGTCGACCAACACTTGGTGGTTCGGCGGCTAAGAGGAATTGCACGGATCTTGTCCAACAAATAGACACCGTAAGAACCTACCCACAAGTGAGGTAACTCAATGACACGAGCAAACCACTAGAGTTACCTTTCAGCTCTCCACCGGGGAAGGTACAAGACTCACAATCACCGGAGCCGGCCACGAACAATCAACAACACATGCCGATTCTCCTCCACTGCTCCAAGCCATCTAAGTGGCAGCAACCACCAAGAGTAACAAGAAATCCGCAGCCACAACGATCCCCAAGTGCCACTAGATGTAATCACTCAAGCAAATACACTTGGAATCACTCCCAATCTCACTATGATGATAAATTAATGATGAAGATGAGTGGGAGGTGTTTGCTTAGGCTCATAAGGATGTCAAGTATGTCAAAGTGCCAAAAGAGTGAGCTCCAAACCAGCCAAACACTATTTATAGAGCCCCTCAAACGAATAGAGCCGTTAGGGTTAGATGAGGGGGCTCTGCGTACTGATCGGACGCGCCGGTCTGGTTGACCAGACACACCGTGCCAGCGTCCGGTCACGCATCTGCTGCCATGTGGCCCCCTGCATTCAAGTGTAGCCAACCGATCTCAACGGTCAAGTCCCGATCGCTTGTGTCTTAAGTTAGGACCGGACGCGCTGCTAAAGTGACCTGATGCGCCACCAAGCAGAGTCTGGTCGTTTACAGTAAGGTTCCAGAGCGCAAATTTACTGACCAGACGTGTCCGGTCAACGTCGACCTGACGTGCCCTAGCGTTCGGTCCTCACTCCGCTCTACTGCGCGCGCTTGAGGTGCTGACGCCAACGTATGTCAGCGCGGACCTGACACGGCCCCTGCGCGTCTGGTCGTAAGCAATCACCAGCGTCCAATCGCAGCGAAGCACTGTGCCTCCTTTGGATCAATTGACCTGACGCACCGCGCGCGTCCGAGGCCAGCGTCTGGTCTCTCTTGCCCTCGGCCAGCAATGCCTCCATGGCTATAATTGACTGGACGTGAAGGTCCACCCCGATTACAGCGTCTGGTCATGGACTTTCTCCTCCTTTTCTTTTTCTAAGTCCACAACCACTTCGCCCTTGCTTCCAAGTTGCTAACCACAGTGTTTACAACTCATGTGCTCGTGTGTTAGCATTTTTCAAAGCATTTTACAAGGGTCAAGGTTAGCACACTAGGTTTTAAATACATATGCAAGAATCATATCACCTAGTGGCACTCGATAACCGCTTACCCAAAGATTTCCCCTCTTTATAGTATGACTATCGATCCTAAACGCACTTACGCCCGCTATGGTGTCTTAAGTGCCAAAATAAAAACCTATCTTATACCTTTGCCTTAATCTCCTTGGTTTTTATTTTTCTCTTTCTTTTTTTCCAAGTTGAGCACTTGATCATCATCATCTCATGTCCATCTTCATCTCCATGGAGCTCTTACTTGCTCCATCACTTGGATGTACTAACCTAGCTTAATTTATCACTCATGACATAGGTTAGTACTTAGGTTTCATTAATTAGCCAAAACCAAACTAGGGCTTCCAATCTTCCCCTATCGACATAAAAATGTGACGATGTGATCAACGCACAGCAAGCCAAAAGATCTAAGTGGAACGAGACCAGAGATCTGTTTGGCTTTAACACAGAACCAGCTGATTCTAAAAACCCAACGACGTGCCAGTCAATTTGACCTGCAATTGACAAGGAGAGAAAATCTTATTAGTAATTTAAGGTGGAACATATCGGTGTTGCACCAAACTATTTCAAATGTGTGGATAGATAGCCGATTCAATGAGGCTATCGACTAAAAAGTCGATATCCAGCGTATCCATGAAATGAAGATCTTTGAATTAAGGAGCATCGGCTAATATTAAATGATAATGATACGAATCAAAATAACCGATGCTCATGGAACATCAGAAGGCATCATCGGCTGAATGGAACATGATCGATATAAAGCATTGAGCAGATAAGTTTGATAAAAAGAGTATAACATGCGAACAAATCGACTTTCTAATATAAATGAATCTATAAACAATTTTGAGTCTAATTTATTATCATCAACAGTGAGGTTCGATTGGATCGATGCAGCTATGATAATAATAATAGACTAAAGCCAAAGAATCTATAAAACCATCTATATGTTGACAGATTCATGAAAACATGCTATATGCATGAGAGTATAGACAAATCGGCTAAAATAGCCGATGTAGTCATAGCAAACAAACGGAGTACATATCTTGATCATGAACAAGACCACTAATTGATAACTTCCAATCTAAAGTCTTACCGGTGAGGTTCGACCAAACCGATGCAGCTATGGTAGTGTCATTAGATTAGATCTCATTAACTAGGGAGTTTATTCAAGATTGAAACATGTCTTTGGATACATACTATGTTTGATTGGAATAGAGATAAAACAACCGATTTAGCGGAATTAAACCATCAATTATAAGATTTGAAGCGTGACCAAATCAGAGGACGACCAATTAAAATGATATAATGTCGATCTATCTCTATCTCAATTAGGTGATTTTATTATAATTAATAAAATATTAATTATAGCAAGATCGATAACCGGTGAATCAACAAAAAATAGTAAGAAAAATCTGACTAATCTTAGTAGATTCGATAATTGGTGATATTGTATTAAACAATAAGTTATTTAACACAAGATCAATAACTTTAATCTATATTATGATTCGTAAGAGATCAATTAGCTGATGTAGCCTTACAAACTATGATACAAATCGATAACTAACTTATATTATGACTCATAAAAGATCAAACAGCTGATGCAGCTTTATAAGCATAATACAAGTCATGACGGTACTCATAAGCAAGCTGGACGTCGATCAGTCAATGCAGCCCTGTTTGCTGAAGAACTCACCGAGATCTATAGTACTCCTACTCCTAATGCGATGGCAAAAGTCGAAAAGATTGTATTGATTATGTGTTCGCCCTCTTTTATAATAACCAGGGTCTAATATTTATACCCGAAACCTAAACATGAATCCTACTCAAATATGACTTATTACAATTCTTGAAATAAAAGAAAACTTTCTAACTTAATAATAACTTGGACCTCAATTTTCCTTATTTGTAGAGTCCAACATATCTTCCTGGCGCCACTCAAGTATAGCCCA